CTCGGCTGGGGGGCGCTGGGGGGCGGCACTTTTTTTGCTGCTTGGGGCAGCAAAAAAGCTAGAGCCGGCCCTGATCGGGAGCCCCAGATCCATCACCTGCCCTGGGCAGCATACTGTTGGGGGCGGGGAAACAGGCCGGGGCTGCTCTCAGGCACCCCAGCCCCTGCCCAGGGCAGGTGGAGGGTCCAGGACTCCCCACAGCAGTCTGGGCTCCGTGGGTGGCTCTTAACACAGCCCAGCTCCAGCTTCTGGCCTGGCCAGGGGGCGGGGCCTCAGGGAAAGTGGAGGGGCAGGGGCAGGGTTCCTGTATGTGCCCCATTTTTGCCTTTTGAAAAGGTGGTCAGCCTAAGAGGAGATGGTTTAGGCTGTTATTCGACAGGACTTCACATCACACACCCTGCAGTTGATAGTATTCACTGTCTCCAGTCCAAGTAAATCCCATTTCAATGTACTTTTTGTCATATTTACATCTCTTTGGTATCAATGTTACGCTTCACAGGCTGAGATCCGCATATTGAGTCAGTAATCATCTCACCCAACGACTCAGCAAGTGCACTGGTATCGGCAAGACCAATTTAATCACTTTGCTTCTCCTAATTAGCATGCAGGACTGCCCTCCCCCAAGGGAGCATGGGCTGTAGAGTAGGAGTCAGGAGAGTAGGACTGGCTAAGCATGCACATACAATTCCAAGCCCTACAGATCTCTAAAATGGACACATTCTGAAGGCAAGACATCTAAGCTTCCTGTAGCCCAACCACAGCGAACTTTAAGACCCTGAGTTACTGGCCCCATAGCTAAGTTTGATATCATATAACAACACTACTTACACTTTGTGTGGATGATGTTCCCTTAGATTCATCCCCAAAATGCTAGATAGTCTCAGGGATTTTCTAAATATTCTCCTCTGGAAATAAAGGCCCAGAACTCTTTGTATCTCTAAGAGCAGGTCTTCACTACCCGCCAGATCGGCGGGTAGTGATCGATCTATCGGGGGTCGATTTATCGCGTCTAGTGTAAACGCGATAAAATCGATCCCCGATTGCACTCCCTGTCGACTCCGGAACTCCAGCTCGCGAGATGCGGAAGCGGAGTCAACGGGGGAGCGGCAGCAGTCGACTCGCCGCTGTCCTCACAGCCAGGTAAGTCGACCTAAGATATGCCGAGTTCACCTAAGCGAAGTTGCGTATCTTAGGTCGACCCCCCCCCCCGCTAGTGTAGACCTGGGCTAAGAAACAGATTCTAACTTCTCTGGGATGAGACTGTCTGGGGAAGAACATAGGAAGACCAATGCTCTGGGTCACATGGAAATGACATCATGTGTGGTATAAATTTGGGATGAGGACACAGGACAACTGGAATATGAGGCTTTTATAAGCAAAACTGATTATTTGACTTAGAATTGTGCAGAGGTGTTATCAGACCCCAAACAACTACAGGATAGTGGAAGAAGCTTATGCAAATATTTCATGCCATTGGGTGATGGAGATTCCTAGTAGCGCCATAATTAAGGCTGTGCTCAGATTTGCAGTTAAAGCAAGAATATCATCTCTTTCTTTCACATAAATATTTGAATTTAGTCTCTAAATTCAACAGACTTACCCTTCATTGGCCAAGTGAATTCTCGATCATCTTTTCTTTGTGAAAGAGTTGCTAACTTTGGCAGAGAAACGAGCCCATCCTTAAGAACGTAACTCTCCAGCTCACTCAGCAGAGTGGGCAGCAGGAATTGATCTGGGGTGTGTGTGTGTGTGTGTGGGTGGGGCACGGAGGAGACATGGGGGTCTGAACAGGTATTGATAGCTGAACAGCGCTGTAAGGGAGCAGGGAGACATGGCCGCTGTGCAGGGACAGAAGCAGGGCTTGGTGCAGTGCCTCGGCATATCAGGCAGCAGCACCACCAAAGGGGGAAGGGCTGAGGACCATGTGTGGAAGAGGAGAAAAGGGGCTGCGGAATGGAGCATCGACAGCATCTGAGGCTGTGAGGAGTCAGCAGGGTTGGAGGAGACAGAGTGATTGACAGCACCATGCTGAAGGAGAGGAGGGTTGGCAGAGGACCACGTGGGAGCCTGGGAGAGAGGTACAAGAGAGGGCCAGAGCCTTGCCAAATAGCATTGGTACTTGAAGGGTCCCCTCTCCCCAGCATCACTGCATCAGCTGCATAATGCAGAGGCAGCAGCACTAGGAGGAGCCCCCAGTTTACTGCATACTCAAAGAACCTCACCACCACCCCCTGGCTCTTTGTACTCTTGGTGGAAAACATGAAGTGCCCCTCCACTCGCAGCAGCAAAGAGCTGACATGACTGTGGAGTTTGCTTTGTTTTAATTGTTCTCCCTTTTCAGCAGCAGTCAGCTGCTCACTGTAATCATCAGTGCAGGGAGGTGCTAGTAGAGAATTTGACTCAGCTCGAGGTAGTAATACCCTTGTCTCACGAGAATCCCTGCAGTGGGGTGTGAGCTGCAGACAGCATCTTGTATCCCCTAAAGAAAACATTTGTCAAGTGTTCTTGCAGCCCTAAAAAAACGTGTGCAGGCAGCCGGATACCTCACCTGGAAGCTTGGTTGATGGTCTTTGCTAATGTCTCTATGGCATCATCAAGGTAAAGAGCAAATTCCATGTTAGCAGGGCCAGGGCAAACCCACCCAGAGAGCCCCCATGACCTTAGCAGCTTTCCACAGCATTCAAATTTGCACATAAGCCCAAGTTTCCAGGCACTACCTAACCAGCAACTTCCCATTCAGTTCAAGGAGGTAAAGTCATAAGTGCAACGGCCTCATTGGGACCAGCCCATGCTAACTGCATTAAGAAAAGCAGGCCTATGGAGTCCTGTAATTACTTCAACACTCTTGCCTTGCATGAGATCTCTCCAGCAGTTTTCAACAGAACAGTGACAGCTTTGGCACAGGTACATGCTCAGCAGCAAGCTTCAGCCTATTACAGCAGAGAATATTCACCCTCAGTGTTGTGCAATTTGACAGAAGATGGCATCAAGAACCAGCAATCAGCAATTTATTAGCCCTTCTTCCCCACTGAGTCAGGAAGTTGAACTTCCTTCTTCCCTACACACAGGCATCCCACACCTCCATGGACTTCATGCTACCCTAACCTTACCTTCCTATTCAGAGTAATTTAGGACTTCACCGTGGTTCTTTCGTGCCCCCAGCTGTTCTCACTCCTTGACTTTATTTTCACCGCGAATCTGCTTCCTGGACAAATAATGGAAGAGGGGGCACTGCAGCTGGGAAGTGTGTGAAAAGCAAAGCGGAACTCTAAAGAAACAGCCCTGTTACATCCCCTTCCCCGTGCTCACACTGCTTCCAGTAGCACCTCTGGGAATTAGCCAGTTTGCCAATCTCACCCAATTGGGCATTAACTGCTTTCTAAACACCAATACTACAACCCACTTCTCTGTGCGCTCACCCAGTTTATCAAGTTGAGCCCTCACCTGTTTCCTAAGCAGCAGAGCCCCAACTCATGGTTTTAAGATAGAGTCAGATCAGCTCCTTCGTGCTCTGTACTTGTCATTCCTTTCTGCATCCCCACTTTCTGTTCTTTGTAGTGACGGCTCCTAAGTCTGGCAGTGAGTAAGTCTAGAAAAACTGTCTACTCAGCCTTTTAAAATTTGCAGAAGAAGTTACATGATCTGTTTTATATCTCCACTTTACGGCAAAGATTGTGTAGACTTACAAGTGTTAGATTACAGTAATACTTACAGAGCATGTAGGGGTACTCCCCCCAGAATGCTTCAGAAAAAGGGGCATGATTCCTGAGAACAGTTATCAGTCTCTTTCCCAAAAGTTTCCATTAACGCTAACACTGGAGAGATTGTGTTGTGTATACTTTCATCTCACCATAAAATCATACATTAAAAATATGGAAAAATTTAAAAGATTGCACTCTGAAACTAATTCATTTTCTTAGACTAGATTACTATATATCACAGCATGGGCAGCACTTAAGACTTGGCTTTTGTTTGAAGGACATCTCTCATTACACTTCTAACATGGAGTCTGGGAAAAGAAAATATATTAAAAACAAAAACCACAACCCAAAAAACCTCCGGTTTGCTCACCTAAGTAGATCTTAAGACTCAAGTTCTCTTGATCTAAAAATTAACTAAAAAAATTAAAATTTACTACAAATTATCCACAACTGAAGAAATTCTTCACTTAATGAATAGACAAGGAGTATCAGCTATTCACACAACTAGCACAACTCTAGCTTAACAAATGTAGGCAGTACAATGAAAGGAATTACTATTTTGTATCATTTTATCTAGCCAAGGATTTCAAATTGAGAATTTTTATTTTCCAGTTTATGAACCAAGCCTTCACTGGTGGTGCACAGGGAGACATTCAAAAACTATTCATATATATTTGTTTTAAATATTTAAATCCTGATGCATTCCTCTTTTTGAGCTATTTTCCAAATTCAAAGAAAGCACAGATTCTACAAAAGTGAAGAGCACACGGTATTTGGGATTAAAAATACTGTCAGTTTTATTTCAGTAAAAATGAGTACAGGATACACTATTTTTCAAAAAGTACAATGATGAAGAATAAAACATTCAGAGAAATGAGGAGCAAATTCTACTTTCTGGGAATTCAAACACTAACCTTCTTCTAGCTGTTTTAGTACTACATTTTAAATCTGCTGATGCTACTATACCTGCACAGTGGCCTGCTTAATATAGGGTTTAGATGCCATAGGAGAAA